TGTGCGCCTGCCGACGCGACACACGCGCAAAGGCGAGACGTTAAGGTCGGGGTACAGCAGCATGCCTCGTGTCACGGGGGGGTCGGGCACGGGAATACTTGACGAGGGGGGCGGGGGCGGGGGGGGGGGGTAGTACCTCATTTTGATAGTCCGTGCCATTTGGTACAATCGCAAGCATACCGCTTGGTTGTCTCGGGGTGAGTCGGAGGGCGAATGCGATGAGAGGACGTGCTCTGAGAAGGTGGAGCCATGGCGCGGATATTTTACGGGGCCGTGCCACCAAGCGAATCTTGAGCGGTGTACTACTGTTAACTAGCAGAGCGTCCGCACAAAAACCGCACATGGCAACGAGACACACGCCTAGCCCAAGTGAACCGACCTCGTCGATGACGACGTGCGACAGGTTGCCCAGGATGCGGCGGAACTTCTTGTGCCCGGGCAGCACCGAGGCGTGCAGCATGTCCGGGTTGGTGAGAATTATGTTCGCCTCCTCCACCACCGCCCCTCGCTGTCGAAACAAGCGTTTCGCACGCAACACCGTCCAGGGAAGGCGATAGGGGGGGGGGGGGGTAGGGATGAATTATGCGAATGAGCAACAAAGTTTTATCATAGTTTTTTTTTTCGAAAAGAGTGGCCCGTGTGCAGTTTAATTTTTGCAAAACAAAAGATGATTTAAAGGGATCGTGTGCATGATGTGTATGCGCGGAAAAACAGAACAATTTGCCTGGGGGGGCATGAAAATTACACGATGGACGTCCATCCGTGACAAGCTCGATAAATACCCCAGAAGACTGGAGCCCGTTTCACCATCTAGGCATCAAATTGCAATCTAAGGCTTGCGCACAATATGAAATAATTTGCCCGAGCTGTCCCAACTGCTAACTTTTCAATCCGTGGACGGTGCGTCGAGATACCACGGCATCTGTGCAGAATATACATACCGCATTCAGGCGTCCCCGACTTGGAGGACGAGGCTTGTTTGGGACCAGACGTACGTAGGCATATAGATTAGGCATATAGATTGGTTCACGCAAAAGACAGCATCAGAATCACGCGGAGCCAGACAGACCGATCAAGGACCGGGGAGGAGGAAGACGCACACCACAGCGAGAGTCTGGGCGAGAGCGAGGCGGGAGCAGGGTGTGCCCTATACTACTGCTGTTAGCTATCGGAAGAGGAGGAGCGAGAGGAGAGATGCATACACGTTTGTTTGTTTGCTGTTCTTGGTCTCTCGGTTGTTTTGTTTCAGCCAAGCGGGCTGTGGGACGTAGGCTGACACGCAAGACACCACGGAGCCATATGGAAAAAGGGGGAGGGAGACACACACCATAGTGAGGGCGACACGGCAGGAGGAGCAGGGTGTGCGCCTATACTACACTGCTGCTGCTAGCTATCTATCGGCGGAGGAAGCCAGAGGAGAGATGCGCGTTTGGTTGGGTCTCTTTCGGTCGGTCACCGCTTCTTGTTTTTCGCAGCGAGCGGCGGCACTTGGCGGCAGGCAGCGCCACGCGAAATTTTTGGTCGTGTTCCATATTTCAGCGTTGAGCAACAAAGTGGCGATAGGGGAGTGGGGGGGGGGGATGATGAGTATATGAGCAACGAAATTTTGAATGTGCTGGGGGAATGATGCGCGTGAGCACTAAATTGGCGATAGGGGAGTGGGGGGGGGATGATGAGTATGTGAGCAACGAAATTTTTAATGCGCTGGAGGGATGATGCCCGTGAGCGATTGGGGGGGTAGGGATGAATGATGCGTACCAACAACGCAACGTAATCTTGATATGCTGGTGGGATGACCCGTGCGAGCAACCAAGTGTCAATATGTATGCTCCTCGGTCTCGGGGGGGAGGGGGGTAGGGGGGGGGGGGGGGAAGTTTAAAAAATTTTTTTGCCCCCCCCCCCAAAGGGC